CCTACTTGTTGTTCCTAGAGTATTTAAAAGTAGAATGGGAGGCAGAGCCTTCAGTTTTCAGGCCCCTCTTCTGTGGAACCAGCTTCCAGTTTGGATTCATGAGACAGACACTATCTCTACTTTCAAGATTAGGCTTCAAACTTTCCTTTTTGCTAGAGCATATAGTTAGGGCTGGACCAGGTGACCCTGAATCCTCCCTTAGTTATGCTGCAATAGACGTAGGCTGCTGTTGTGATTTGGTGCCATATGAATAAAACTGAGTGTTAATGAATGTTGATACTTACAACCACAGACTGTGACTGCAGCCTGCAGGAAGAACACAACAGGATAAATCCTTCAGTCTGAAAATATCTGTGCAGTTGTCTCTCTGAAAGCCTTCACACACCTGACACATAAAATCCTACAAATATTTTATGTGTTTTAATTGTTTTTGGGACTCATCTGTTCATGCAGCAGCAACAAACAGGCTCCATGTTTCTGATTGTCACATGTCGATGTGTCTCTCACAGCTCTACACACACTGATACTGACACAGTAAAATAATTGTGTTTGACCAGATTCAGCTCCAGGCTGTGCCACGTGCTGATATGCGGAGCAAAGCTTCAGCTCCTGGACCAGACCAGGAAGTCCTCACTGATGCTGCTGACGCTTAGAGGACAGAAAAATGCCGTACTCAGTGTGTACGAGTTGCACGGCCAGTTCAGAACCAGAAAATTCAGGATTTTGTGGTGTTTCTTTGGCGGTGTGTGTAGGCCTTCAGATTTGGGGAGCAGATCGGATTTTTTGAAGCAGGAAGTGAACTTTCCTTTGGTGCTGCAGCTCCGACACCTGGACCAGGATCTGCTGAATCTCTGCCTCCATCTGAACACACATCAGTTCATCAGTTTACAGGAAACACCACAGCTTCAGTTCCTCTCCTGACAAATCCATCTACACGCTTCACTGTTTTCACAGAAACTAAGCAGGAAGTATTTAAAGTCTAAAGCAGACACATCTGCTCGACACTGAAATATCTGCTCGTTCTGAACTCTCCATGTCTGGACTGAGACCAGATGTTCCTCTGTGCTGCTTGTGAAACAAACAATACAAACTTATATACATTGTATTGTATGTATTGTAAGTGTCACAGAAATGGCTTATGTATAAAGAAGTTTAATAGATGGTTCCAGCAGTTAAAATGTTCTTGCTTGTACGTTTCTGTGGTCAACATTGTAAGGGTGTGTTTATCTTGTCACAAAGAACCAGTTTTGTTACACCGCTATTATCGCGAGGTTTGGGCGTGATAATATAGGCTGCCGTAAAATACAGCGTCTAGCAAGAAGGGAACAAAAAGCCACGATCTCAGTTTGCTGGGGAGTTATATTAAGAGGGTCTTTGGAACTCCAAATATGGCAGTCAGAGGGTCTTCTCGGATCGGATCCAAAAGCCTCTGAAAACCCAAAATGTGTTCAAACTTGGACAGAAGAAAACATATGGATTGCAGGGGGAGGTCACATTGATCTATAATTGAAGGAAAATTTTAGATAAACGGGATTTTGAGAAATGGACTCTGTTTATTACTTTACACCAGGGGTCGGCAACCTTTCTGATGACGAGTGCATCTAAAATTCCCTCAGCAGTCAGTGTGCCATATGATGCATTAGCAATAAATTTAATAACACTCTACACGAACAGTTACACACTATATAAACTTTACAGAATGATATTTGTTCGCAGATGTTGGCAGCTGTCAGCGAATAGTTCTCAGCTATTTTGAAACAAAACAAACACTTTTTATCCATAAATCCAGCTTCGTGTCTTTTCCTTTGTAGCTGAAGTTTGGGAAAAACTGCTCCTTTTCAGCTCAACACGAAACGCGTAATATTTTCTCTGAATACGAGATGATTGTTTTTTTACGGGACGTGTGTTTGAATTACGGCCCAAGGGTTTTCACAGATTTCTATTTGTTTTATTTACACGTCACCACGTCCTGATCTGCAGGACCCTCAGTGACCCTCCGACAGTAACGGCAGCTGCACCGTCAGTCACAGGAAGCCTCTTGCTTCTTCTCATGAGAGTAACATCTGCTACCAGCAGCACCGTCTAACTTCAGCAACAAGACCATCATCATCACATTGACCTGCTCCAGCACACACCAAAGTGCACCTACATGTCATTGTACATATATCAGCGTGATCCTGAATCTTCGGAGCTCTGCTGTCAGAGGAAAATCGGGAGTATTACCTGTGAATCGGAGCTCGGCGATCCCGCTGTGAGGAAGCGTGTTACCTGCAGTGGTCTGAGTGACGGGAAGCTGTGTGTCCGAGGCCGGACTGTCTGAGCGGGCTCTTTTTACCTCCCACGTCTGACTGCCATCCCCAGGGTCAGCCAATTAACTGTGACAGTATCCCCTCGGGCATTGCGCGCATCGCTCCCTGTTCATTCACAAACGGCACAGAGCTCATCGGTGTTGCTCTCACTCCCTGGGGTGTTTCAGGCTTTCCAGCTGATGACGTCTCCGTGTTTGACTCCCTGACGCGTCTGCAGCGTTCAGGCCACCAGAGGCGCGCTCACGGGTTTCGCAGTCGCACGTGCTCATTAAGCTGCAGCTCTTCGGCCAGCAGTAATCACACCCCGTGTCCTGCCTGGACTTCAGGCTGAACATGGTTAAAGTTTAAAGTCCTTCTAAAAACAGCAGATCCAGTTTTCTCCAGCTGAGCTGCCGTCTGCCATCAGCTGGATGAAATCCTGGCCTTTAATTGGCCGGCTGCTAAAGAGGATGCCACCATTAAACACACAGTGGAAACAAGAGGACAACAGACAGTCCAGTCTGCTCTGTCAGCATGTCCAAACACGGAGGGCGGGCTCGGTGTCACTGCAGGGGGCGGGCCTCATCACAGCGCCCTGCAGCACCGCCAGCTTCATGGCCCCGTTAAAGCCAACACACGCCATGAGGTTTCAGTCCAAAGGCTCTCAACGCTAATGCCGACCCGATCACAGGCTTCCTGAAGCACCTCGCTCACCGCTGTCGCGGGTTTTCTGCCACGTGCGGCTGAAGCTGCTCAGGATTCAGCACGCTGTGTGAACGCTGCCGAGGGTTTCGGGATATTTCTGCTTTCATGATGATGTGCAAAAATGAGAACATCACCATGGCAACTGATGGCTTTCTGTATTTGGACCAGTAAACATCTGATCAGCCACAGTTACAGGTCATGTCACAGAAAAAAAAAACTCTGGTCTTTTATATTGTAAAAAAATGAAGTCCTACGTTTGTCTCCTCATCAAACCCGTCAAAGGCGAGGACCTCCACAGGGAGCGTAACCTCCGACCTCCAGGCTCTGCTCTCTGCTGGTGACCTCTGTCCTCATCATGTAAAGCCCTCAGAAAGATCTCAGAGGAGCAACGGACCAGCAGCTGGTCAGAGATCAGTCACAGAGAGCTGCAGGAACAGAAGAAATCCAGACGTGAAGCCACCAAACAATCAGTCAAACCCAGAAGCAGACGCTCAGATACAGTTTTATTTTCCTAACAGGCACATTTAGCTCGTGATGGTTTGCACAGAAACACACTTTGTCAATGATTCACTGTCCAAAACCTTCCTCTGCGTTCAGCGATCACGTTTGCTTTCCCACACAGCAACACGGCAGAGCCGAGGCATCGCCTGTCCTCAGAACCAAAGAGCTCGGATCAGGACGGGCTCGGCGCCGGATGCGTGGTCATCGTGATCGGTGAAACACAAGAAGCTAAAGGACGAGTGAGCCAGCGAGGACCTAAACATCACAGATCTGCAAAGAAACGAAGACACAGAGGAGCTCGACGGCGTCATCTACCACAGAGTAACATTTCAAATCTATGAACTGTTCGTAGTTTCAGCGTCAGAGTCACGATCGTCGCTGTTACTGAGGGAAACGCCCTCACGCTGGTGAAGAGCGAGGGTTCGGCTTCTTCAGTGTGGAACAGACTGTGAAGGAAAGCTGTCTGACAGAGCTGCGGCGACAGGAAGTGGCGGCTGATGAAGTCTGGCATTCAGGCCATTTTCCCGCTGAGCCGTGCTCCTCTCCTCTCAGTACATGAGGTCGGCCGCCCCGCCGCTCAGCTCCACCTCTTTGTTTTGTTGAAAGGGAAACTGGATTCCCGCCAGTCGGACCAACAGGGCGTTCAGTCCCTGAAGGAGGAAGATGAGGAAGAAGAGCCAGAAGCATCGGTCGTAGCGCTCGGTGTACGTCTGGAAGATGAAATTCCCCTCATTGAAGTTGGCGATCCGCTCGGACAGACGACTGAGCTTTACCTCCGACACAAACAGGACCATGACGAGGCAGCTGCCGACACCTGCAGGAAACACAGACAGGAACCATCAGGCTTACCTCTGACCTCTGACCCCATCACCCTTAGACACCACCTCCACCTCTGAGAAGGCCAGAGGAGGCGAACCAGACGCCACAACAGAAGGAGGGATGATGTCATCAGAGGAGCTCAGGCGGTGAAAATAAAACCCGTGATGGAGCTCATGGTAACGTGGCTCAGCTGAGCTCAGGTCACATGACTGACAGGCGTCTCCAGTCTGTGCATCACTGGTTCCCCATCCAGGGTTTGGACCAACCATCCAACTGTGAGGAGCACAGGCTCCAACACTGCAGTTCCTCCCCCGTCCAGCGGGGGCAGCAGTGAGTTCGTCCACACAGACCGCTGCGTTAAGATGCTTCAGCCTGATGCATAAGCTGTGTGGTGTCTGTGAATATTGAGCCCTCGTAACACCTGTTTCTACTACGCACCTGCATAAACTGTGTTAAGGTTCAAGTTTGCATCGTTAGGGGCGTGGCCTCAGACAGGTGCCGTGGCGGCCTGCTAGGCTTCTGCGGGCCTTTGTGAGTGAAACTGGAGTATTTGTGGGGACGCTGCCCGGCACTAATTGGGGTCTGCGGTTGCAGGCACACATTGGACGGGCCGATTAAGTGAAATGAACCCGGAGAAGGAGGAAATGAGCGGAGGATCGTTGGGTCTTAATGCTCGGCCAGGCCGCCCCCCGCCTGCTTTATCCCTCTCCTGCCCTGGGCTCTGTTATCAGGCTGTTTGTCTGTGATCCTCTCCGAACTCATTTCAGACCATCCATATTTTATATCTCGTTACAGGCTCACAGGGAGCCCGCCAACTGTCCCAGCATGCATTTCAGTGACACTGTCCTTCCTCTGCTCCCCCCCATCTCTAACAGTCGTGCTTTTGGTCGTATTTTAGCGAACAGCTGTTCTTATCTTATCAGCCCTTCTTCAAATGATGACGTATTTGGCTGTGCTGGGGGCAACCGTGAGGACGGTTATCTTTGACACACGTTACAGTACAAACAAAAGCTTCCCATGGACTGGCAGGTGAAGCTGTGAGGGTGTGGTTCTCACAGGTGATGAAGGTCCACAGGTAAAGTCCCACGGGGCCTTGCAGCGTCTCGTAGGGTCTGCCGAAGGCATTGAAGAAGAAGAAGCCAGTGGCCACGGAGGAGAAGAGTGTCACAACACCACAGAAGAAGATGACGGTGACGTGGAGGCCCGTGGGGATGGCACTCAGGAGGTCAGGAAAGACTGGAAGACATCAAGAGACAGACCTGCAGTGAGAGGCGTGTCCGGTCTGCAGCGACCACAGAGGTCACCGAGCCTCGGGACACACAGCCAGCACTTCCTGTTAGAGGGTCAAACAGCAGGGCGAAGACACGCTGACACAAAGCAGACGAGACCGACACAGGAAGAGACAGAAACATGAAAAACAGAATCAAGAGCGCCAACGTGACAGAAAATCTTCTGTAAACTCACAGAGACAGGAAGTGTGCAAAACAGACACAAGAAGTGAACATTGTCAGATATTTAATAAGAGATTTAAAACCAGAGAACACGAGCTGCTGGAACCCCGAGCGTGCTCCACCTCCCCACTAAGTTCAGCTGTGACAGTAACACCCCCACTGCTGGAACACCCACGAAGGCTGACAAACGTCCCACAGAGACGCTGACGTGAAACAAAAAGCTCTGCACTGAAGCAGAGACGCAGGTCCTGCAGGGACAGAGCGGCTTTGTCTCTGCTCGCAGATCCCACGCAATCAGGCGGAAACCTCATTAGTGCCGCGCTGCCCAGGACCTCAGAGGGAGCTGCTTCCTGTCCCAGCGCTCAGAGTCACGTGACAAATGTTTATTCGCCCGTTTGGAAAAGATTATCTGACAGTGGTTTCACATCTGCAGCTGTATTCATTTAACCTTTAATTAACCTTATTTATGAAGGACGCCTGCTGCTGGCCGTGTGTCCGAGCCAATGAGACGAGCTCAGCCTGCGTGACTGTGACGTTCACGCACAGTCACGCAGGCTGAGCTCAGCGTTTGTCTCAAATCAGCATCAGGGTTCAGAAATCATTTTTCTGCCACCCCGGTGACAACAGAGCTCCGGCTCCAAAACCCCCAAATCAGAAATGCTGATGCTGATCCTGGTCTGGGTCCTGGTCCTGGTCTGGGTCCTGGCTCTTCAGTTTATGGAGTTCTGGTTACTATGAAATCTCATCTGTTTGACATCTTGAACTTTTTCAGTTTGCTGTCCCAATTGAATCAGTGTTTTTATTTTTATAGTTTTTAGTTTTTTTCAGCTGAAATATTTTCTGTCACAACAATAATGTGATGACAGCAGTCACTGCAGATCAATGAACAGGGTTATTGATTAACCTGATTATTATTAATGCAGAGTTGTTGATAGAGCCGTGAGCAGACTCGCAGCAGCTCGTGCGTGAATTACTGCTCGTGCGCATGCATCATCGGCGATCACTCACAGGAGAAGCGCGCCGCGCGGCCCCCCAGCCCGCACTGCTTCACGCGCTGTCCGTGGAACAGCCCGTAGCTCAGCTCGCCCACGAACTTGTCCAGCTCGGCCCCGGTGGCGTTGACGAGCTCGGCCCCGGTGCGGCACAGCACGGCCCCGCGGAGCCAGAGTGGCAGGCCGGTGGCCACCGCGGCCGTGAGCGCACAGGAGAGGCCGAGGAGCCCGCACACGGAGAAGAGGAGCTGCTTCTGTCTGCCCGGCATGATGGAGGAGGAGGAGCCGGGGGAGGAGGCCACCACCACAACGCCCCCGCCTCCACCTCCGGGAGGAGGGGGGACCGCGGGAAACGTCAGGTGCCAGCGCACACCTGCGCTGGGTCCATGGCAACAAGGGCTCGTTTTACAGCCAGGAGGTTCGAGTTCTCATTAAAGACGAAGCACGAGACTGTGATGCGCGCGCCCGCAGCAGACTCATCTTTCCTTCACACCTTACTGCTGAGCGCGGTTTGTGGTCACGTGGGACCTTTTTCAGCCTAAAACCGGCTCTGTGACATATCACGGAGGTGGACAGGAAGTGATGCTGAAATATTCAGATAACGTCTGGAATAAGACTGAAACAGAGGCGGGGAAGGTTTCAGGTATCACCCTGGGTCAGCACACCTGAGTCACATGAGCTCATCACCATGCCTCTGCAGAACTTTTTAATTTAGCCTTTTAAATCAGCTGAAAACTCTAAAACCAGGCTGCGGCCTGGAGTTCCTGACCACTGGTCTAACAGGTAAAACACTGAGAACGGAAGTGAGTGACTGGAGCAGGAAGCAGGAGATATCGCCATCTTTTACATCCAGTCTGTTTTCTTCTATGACACTGTTACACCCCGGCCTAGGCAACCGGAGTGCAACACGAAAAAAATAGAAATAAGGGAACAAAGGCCCCCAAGGTCACTGCTCTTAAGGAGGGCGAACTCATAAAAAAGACTAATACGGGCTAGCGCCCGCCTCTCTCTGCGCAGTGACCTGCTGGGGGAGCAGATCCACGGACAGGAGCAGGGTTGACAAACTGGTGCGGAGGTCTAGCTCTGTGCTGGGATGTCCTCTGGAGTCTGTGGAGGTGGTGGGCGACAGGAGGATGTTAGTAAAGCTGACATCCATCATGAACAACCCACACCACCCTCTGCATGAGTGTGTGAGTGTGCTGAGCAGCTCAGAGACCTAAACGCCCTCACAGATCAGTCAGCAGCAGTTAGTCTCCTCGATCATGATGTCATGAGTCACGTGGACAACCACAGTCACCGCCACATGGATAATGCACCTTATATGTATGGACGTGTGCATGTGTATATATATGTGTATATTTGGTGTGTATGGATGTATGTGTATTTGTACGTGTGTTTGCACGTACACATCTATACTTATGGATTTCTTAGATAGAAGAATAGCTGAAATGAATTTCTTGCATGTTTTTCTCCGTCACACACACTGTTTGTGCGTGTACATAGAACCTCAGTTACCGTGGTATATATTGTATTATCTTATTGATTTTGTATTTTTGGGGCTTTGTATTCTTCTGCTCTCTGTACCTGAGCTGTGGGAACGCACGCATTTCCCCGCTGTCAGGTCAATAAAGACTCATCTTATCTTACTTCTTAACAAAGAGGTTTTATTGTGTAAAACCACAGGAAGTGTCTGTGCTGTCATTAGTGCTTTTACTGTGAAAAGACATGTGAGGAAAACGCTGAGGGTCTTCAGGTGAGCTAATGATAGGTCACGTGTTTTTCCTTCGTGCCAGAGGCTGATGTACTGCAGTACTGCATGTAAAAGTACTTTGACTGCGCCACTGTTACACAGGCCGGATGTACTTTTTACTTTTACAAGTGTACATCTCTTAAATCGGGTCTTTTCTGACTGGACTCTGGCAGCTGCTGCAGTCAGGAAACAGGAAGTTGATTAACTGTGACGTAAAACAGGTAAACAAACAAACGGACTTCAGTACGAAAAGAATCACTTTGAGCCCCAGAGGGCGCTGCTGTTCCTCCAGGCTGCTTCGGCATGGCACGTGATGACGTAAGCCTCTCAGTATACGTCACGCCGGGGTGAAACCCGGGGGTCGGTGTCCGGAGGAGCACAGAGGAGCGGAGGAGCCGCCGAAGGAGCTGAGAGGAGCTGCCACGTCCAACATGAGGTAAGGAGTTTCGGGTCACGTGATTGCAGGTTCTTGTAGTCGGTGCTGATCAGGATCGATACTCAGACTCACTGACGGACGCGGTGTAGCGGAACTCCAGGTGATCAGGTGTCATAAACGCGCCGCGGGGGCGTGGTCCCACAGCTCAGCGCTCACGCAGGTGGAGGTGATGAAGAGGGAGGATGAAGGTTTGTGCGCTTGGGTCTCAGAGTGAAAGGAGCTGCGGGGCCACTGCTGGCTCTGTCATCGGATTGGAGGAGATTTTAGCGTTCAAGTATGTCTGTGAAGGTTCTCAGTCATCCAGGTCATCGTGGTCTAAGGAGCTTGCAAAGAAAAGCGTCTGGACTTCTTTAAGTTGCTTGAAGACGTTTCACCTCTCATCCGAGAAGCTTCTTCAGTTCTAAGGTCAAATGGTGGAGAGTCCCAGATATAAACCTAGTGGGAGTTTCCCCCCACAGAGGGACAAAGGACCCCTGATGATCCTCTAATCGCCTGAGCCAAGGTGTGAAACTGGGTGTGGGTCCCAATCAGCCAGAGTTTCGGGTGAGCTTACTGTGAAGGTGGGGGTCAGGTTTCACAATGGCACAGAACTGAAGAAGCTTCTGGATGAGAGGTGAAACGTCTTCAAGCAACTCAAAGAAGTCCAGACGCTTTTCTCTGTAAGCTCCTTTGACTAGTGCTCAAGTAGTACAAAACAAACAAATATTTCCTAAAATGTGTTTGTTTTTAAAATTTCAAATGTTGTGTAACAAGAGTTTGTTTCCAATCTCTTAACCAGTGTTGGTAATCGATTACATTACTGCCCATCTCTGCTCTTCACTAACACATGGGTCTGTGCACACACACGCAGCACTGCGGCTGTCGTTGTGTTTGTATGCAACAAACTGCACATAAGTGCGTGCATGAGTTTGTGAGTCTGTCACTGCACTCACACAGCCTCAGCATGTTTGTGCTCTCTGCTCATGTTGGCTTCAGATTCATCTTTTTTGGCTTTAAGAACTTATTTTAACAAAAAGTCACTTCAGGGGTCAAAGTGCATTATATTTCTGCACATCAAGGTACGGGCAGCGAGTGGCCCCCAGGCCACGGTTTGAGACCCCTGGGTTAGGGTGTGAGTTTACTGTAGTGGCTGCACACGTCACTGAAACTGAGGAACAGCTGAAGCAAAGCGGTTATAAAATGTGAAACTATCATCGGCCGGGCGTTTCCTTTCCAACATCCAGCGAGCAGCAGATGCCTCGCTAAGGTCAGGGGTCAGGAGAGCGGACAGGCTGCTGATAGGAAGCAGCCTTTCTGGAACCTGACTGACGTCCAATCAGGTGCTAACCAGCTGTACCAAATAAAGTGTCAGGGGGCAAGGCAAGTTTATTTGTATAGCACAATTCAACAACAAGGTGATTCAAAGTGCTTTACAGAGACATTAGAAACAAAAACAAATAAAAGCATGATCTGAAATTGATTAAAACAAGCAAACAAACAAACTAACTAATTAACAAACAAACAAACAGAACAGTAGATAAAATCAGTAGTTAAAATGTAAGTTTTGAAATTTAAGCTTAAAAGTAAAACAGTGTGTATTTGGTGCTTTATTCAAATGCAGCTGAGAACAGGTGAGTCTTCAACCTGGATTTAAATAAACTGAGTGTTTCAGCTGATCTGAGGCTTTCTGGGAGTTTGTTCCAGATATAAGGAGCATAAAAGCTGAATGCAGCTTCTCCGTGTCTGGTTCTGACTCTGGGAACTGATAAAAGACCGGATCCAGATGACCTGAGGGATCTGGAAGGTTCATGCTAGGTCAGGAGGTCACTGATGTATTTTCATTCATTCATTTCATTCATTTATTTGTTCATTTCCAGGCACAACAAATACCTATATTGAACATAAAATGCACAAAACAAAAAACAAAAATTGCCTGAAAAAGGAGTGGGACGAAGAAAACTTATTAAATCCCACCCCTATACTCACTCATCAACAAAAAAACAAAACAAAACAATAAACTTCCCGCAGCTACGCCCATTATTGCATACCGTCCCATCAACAGCCCCGGGCGCATACAAACATCTAAACTGCAGCTCGCAAACAACAATTAGAGCCTTCATAACTGAATACAGAATATATAAATTATAAATTGCATTACCACAGGTAACAGGCAGTAATAACTACAAGTAACGAACACACACATACACACATACATATACATACATATATATCTACACACACATGTACATATATGTACATACATACGCACACTATTAGTTTTTTT